AACACCCAAGTGCTTTTCCTCCTACTGGATTCTTAAAGGTTTATCCAAAAGGATATTTTGCCATGAAATTAAAAAAAAAAAAAAAATAAAAACCACCTTTCAAATGGAAATAATATACATTTTTTAAGTGCAGTGGAAAGATGAGAGATGGATTTGAGGCATTCCTGGAAGGATCTGAAATTCCAGCTCTGGATTTCCCTTTGGACTTGTCAGACACAAATAATCCCATTCCCTGCTGGAGAATCCCCCCTCCCAACCTCAGTGAGGGTCTTGGTGCCCCCATCAGAGGCAGCAGGACTGGGCCAGGAGAGCTTTCAGGAGTTCACCCACCAGGAATTCACCCCAATCTCCTGTCATGGTTCTCCCCACTCTGATTTCTCAAGGACTCGAAAGGAATTTCCCACGGATCCAGCAACCCCCTGCACCTCAGGAAGTGTTGGGAGCATTAAATCCAGGCTGATCCGTGGCAGGAGGAGTTACATCTGTCCTTCCCAAAACCATGATGAGAGAACTGTCCATTATTAATCACTGTAAATTAAATTACAAGGGGGGGGGGAGTACCTGCCAATGAGCATCTTTTGTTTTGTTCTCTTGGATGAAAAAAAATAAATGTCATCATATGGAAATGACCATCCAAAATCATCCAACTTCTCAGAGAGAAACAGCTTGATTGGTTTTGAACCCAGACTATTTTTGGGTTACAAGGGGGAGATTCACTTTCTGGTCACACAAACAGGTCGATAAAAACGTGCGTTCGATCTGCAAATTAAAATTAACCTTCCAATTGATTTCGTTTCATCTGCTGTCCCAGGAAACCTTCGGGAGGTTCAGAAATAACCTTTTAAAGAGGCTGTTGCTGTCGTGGGGTGTTTTGTCCTGAGCCTTTCAGGTGCATCAAATGGAATTGGCCTTAAACAAGCCCAAGCTGCTGCTCCCCAGTGAATTTACCAATCATGTCATGCAATCAGGAACCAGCCATCCCTCTTCAGGGTTCTAGACAGGGCTTGCTCTGTCAGGGCTTGTACAATTCACAGCAAAAAAATGTGCTGTCCTCTCCAAAGCACTCACAGGCACTGTCCTGCTGTGCCCTCCCTGCACTATAAAGGTGGAATTTCTGGAACAAAGGCACGGGATGTTCGGGCATCGCTGCCACTGCCTCGCCCTTTCACCCTCCTGGTATCCCCAGGGCCCTGGGAGGCACGGGGAGGGGCTAAGAAATGCCTGTTTTCAGGGATCTGCACGGTTTCTTGCCATTATTTAGGGCTAGATGGTCTGCAAGAGGTCCCTTCCCACCTTGGCTGTGATTATAATCCCTTCTCCTTCCCCAAAAACCGCTCATTCCTGCATCAAAGGGGGGGTACTGGTAAATTCTGGATATGAAACCACCCCCCAAGACCCCACTGGACGTGTGGAAAAGCGGATTGGGGGCTCTGAGAGGGATGCAGGAAGTTAAGAGGACTTTGGGATTGGTGCCCATCAATGTTTTGGCTTTTTGCCACAGTCAGATAAAACCATCACGACCCACTGGAAGAACATGCAAGTCATGCTCCTTGTAGGATTATTTTGCAAGCAGTGGTTGTGGAAACAAGGCTAGAAAAAATTGCAGGCATTGGAGCAAATTGAACTCAGAACTGCATCTCCAGCTGTCTGGAACAGCTCCTTTGTTTTACACAACAGTTCCATTAATGTTCCAGAGTCTGTGATTATTTGAGCTCTCAACAACATCCTGTTATTCATTATTTCTCTCCAGGAACTAACAGCCACGATCCTGAGAGCTTTGAGGTTTTAGGAAGAAGTCCAGTCATGTCACAGTGTTTTGCAAGCCAGTCCCCTCCTGTCAACCCTAAAATAAAAATATTTTCCCACTCTCTTGTTTGTCCATTATTGTCACTTATTACAATAGGCTTTGTTGATTTAGACCAGCAGTTTACACACAGTTCCCTCCTTTTCCCAAAGGCCCTGGAACAGGGATGGAAAAAAAGGGATGTAAAGGTGCTCAGGGGAGCCACCTGAATCACTGGAGGAAACAAGGGGAGGTTCCAGCAGCTCCAGAATCAGCCAGCAGCAGTGGGACCAGGGAAGATGACGGAGTTCAGATGGGAAAGAGAAGCACAGGGAACTCTCCAAGGCCTGGCAGATGGAAGCAGCAGAGCCTGGCTCAGCTCTGAGCTGCAGACCTGTTGAATGGGTCACGCTGTTCTCCAGAGGCTGAGCTGCAAACGCTGCTGAAAGTGAGCCTGAGCCTTCCTGGTGCCCCCAGAGATGATCTTAACCCTGAATGATGAGGCAGCAATGACCCAGAGGCAGCACATGATAGATGCCTACAGAATGGCCTGGTCAGGACAGGCACAAGGAGATTTGATTACCCTTATCTTGGCCTGCAGGACAATATATTGCTGTTTAATGTGGAATAATTACATTCCCTTTTGCATCCTCTTGACAGTTAAGACCTCAGAAAAAAAAAATAGCTTGTCCATCCTTGCTTTGTTAATTATTCCAGTGGAGATTAAGACAAGATCTCTCTATAAGTGACAGAGAGGATGACTCTGGTTTAAAGCCACAAAGCCAATTTTACCTGCTGAGGATTTAAACCATTGATTCAAGCTTTGGGGGCAGTCAGCTGGAAAAACAAAGCTAAAACATT